AAACGGAGGAAAGGAACACCGACAAACCAACGAGCCAGAACCGAGGATTCAACAAAAACACCAGTACCCCCGGCTAAAGAGAGTGAGGCCTGCTGAGGAGGTTCCAGCGAAACAGCAATTTCAACGACGTACAGAATCAAGAAGACGTAAGCGACGTAAGCAGTTTCCAGCGGCAACAGCTACGACAAGGAGGTCCAGAATTGAGGACGAAAAGAGATAAAAGACCAGCCGATACACCCGTACCTGACCAAGAAGTTAGAAGGTCCAAGCGCAAGTTCAAAAACCCTGAAGGACGGATGGCCCCACCGCAGCTCAAGAGGAGACTGAAGTTCCAAAACCCGCAGCCGTCCCGCAAAAAACCGACAAAGGGCAGAGGGTCGTAGACAAAGGGCAGAAGAGGAAAAGGAGTGATTTAAACGGCACGGGGCATCAAAGTTTCAGAAAAAGTTTGGAAGTTCTGAAGTACCCTACATTTGAACAATTCTGATAGATCAGAATGGAGGAGTACAGAAAAAGATAAGTGAAAATTTCTTTGCTTATTTTACTTTGAATACAGATTCAAATTGTATCATCTTGTTCTAAGTTGCTAAAGATGTTTAGAAAAGTTAAATCGCAGATAGCGAGAATTTAGTTGTAAATAGCTGTAACCATAGATTTTTTTATGTTAGCAATTTGGCGAGAAGCTACTAGCTAGTGAGAAACTAGTGAGGATAACACTAGCGCAAATTTTGGTGGAAAAGCTAGAAGAGGCATCCATAACGTTTTTACGAAACTTAACGAACATTTGAATTTAAAAATTATTGGAGTAGGTTGTGCAGCGCACATTCTACACAGTACTATTCAAACAGCATCTGACTTACTTCCAGTGGATCTTGAAAATATTAGTGCAAAAATTTATTCGTATTTTTATATATAAACTGTGCGTGTTGAAAGTTTGAAGGATTTTTGTGAAAGCGCAGAAATCGCATATAAAAGAATTATTTGTTACAGCAAAACACGATGGCTAGCTCTTTTACCAGCTGTAGAAAAATGTTTTAAAAATTACGAACCATTAAAATCATACTTTTTATCACAAGATAAATGTCCAAGAATATTGCACCCCTTTTTTTTTTTTTTTTTTTTTTTTTTTTTTTTTTTTTTTTTTTTTTTTTTTTTTTTTTTTTTTTTTTTTTTTTTTTTTTTTTTTTTTTTTGAAAATGACACATCACAAATGTGGCTCCAGTTCATCCACAACCAAGCTACATTATTTCACAATCTATGAAAATTATTGAAGGGAAGAATTGATAAGGAAAAAGAATTGATAACTATCACGTTCCTTTAGTTATTCGAAAGGACATCACCAGGTTGGAAGAACAAGGTGCCATTAAACGACCTGATTTTCTGAAAGAAGTCAAAATTTTTTATAACAGCTTGGAATATCTTGAAGAACGGACAGTTCAGTTCGAGGATATTTAAAAAATTCTTTGGCTGACATTAAAAGGAGATTTTATGGGAATATGTGGGAAAATCTTTCTAATATATTAGTAACCATTTTCCGAAAAATAATATTTGCGAAAATGATCTTTTTGATGAGGTGTCATTAGTAAAAAGATACGTTACTGAAGAAAAAAATTAAATGTTGGTTGTCTGCAAATGTGGAAACAGACACCACAAAAAAAAGGGGGGAACGAAGTTATTCCTTTATTTTAAACAGAATAATATTCCTTATGGAAACATTTTGAAAATTGTAGAACACGCGCTCTCCCTTCCAGGAATAAATGCAACAACAAAACGTGTTTTTTATGATATCAATAAAATATGGACAATTGAAAAACGCAGTTGAACATTAAAACTTTTAAATCTGTATTAAGCATAAAATATAATTTGACCAATTCATGTGAGAAATTTCACGGCATTTTAATAAATCATCTAAATCTATTGCAAAGTATTCATTCGGATAAAAAATATAACCGTGGGAAAAAATCATAATTTTTTAATAAAATTTTAATTAATTAAAAACATAACATTCAAATTATAGTTTTTTAAAAATATTTTTATAGCTCAAAATCGCAATAACAACCTCGTATTTCGCTTATATTTATTAAAACACTCAATCGATTTCGAGGGCAGCTTACAGGTCCCTCCTCATCAGGAGAACGAAATTACTAGAAAGGGAAAGCATACTTTGATACTTTGATACTTTTGATATGCCTGTTTCAGCAGAAATTATATCCCGCTATTACAGGCACCTCAAATAACCCCGGTTAGGGGAGACATAACATACAGTGCTTCGCAGGAATACCTTGATAAGGGACTGCAGGAAGATTGTGTAGATGTGGCCCAGGCCAGTGTAAATGAAGAAGTCATAATTTGAAACTTAAAAATTGGCTGGCAGAAGTTAGGAGTATTTATGGGGGATTCCGATAAATGTGGGTTGCATAGGGCCTTAATTGATGTCAATTCTAGGAGCTCGTACTTAAAATTGTCAGAATAATTTACCTCCGCGTTCGTAATGGCTCTCTTGAAAAAATTATTATTTAATTTATTGATGAATAACGCCATATTTTGGAGTTTAAGGTCTCTATGTAGCTGTTCATTGCGAACGAACCAAGGTGCTCCTGTGAATTTTCGTAAGTAGTTGTTTTGGAAAACCTGCAATTTATTTAATACGGAAGGGGGGACAGAGAACCATGCAGGAGAGGCATATGTAAGGATGGGTCTTAATATTGATGTGTAAATGTGCTTCTTGCGAACAAGATCCAATGGTGAGGAGGCGTCAAGAAAGTTTCGGAGCTTCCTAGAGACTCCTATGGCTTTCCCGATGGTCATGGAAATGTGAGGACCCCATGTAAGAGAGCCGTTAAAGCGAACTCCCAAGTATGTAGTCTCTGACTTTGGCCACCGTTTCATTAAAGAGGGTCAGATCTGCATCAGTGTTTTTTCTCCTATGCCGTCCTATCAGTAATAATTTAGATTTTGTGGCATTAATGGACGTCTTCCATTTGCGACACCATTCCTCTATCTCGTGTGAATGGTTTTGTATTCTGATCATGGCATGTCGTGAATTAAGTGAACTAGAAAGAATGGCGGTGTCGTCCGCGTAGCAGGCGGTGATGCAGTTTGTATTTTCAATCAAAGGGAAGTCCTTAACATATATAGGATAGAGAATAGGTCCAAGGATGCTTCCCTGGGGGACGCCGGCTTTAATTAATGTGTTTTCAGAATAAACATCGCCCTGCCTGACATAGAAGGATCGATCACTTAGAAAGGAGTGAAGAATCAAAATCGTTTCCCTGGGGAAATCAAGGGAAGCAAGCTTGTAACTAAGTCCGTTATGCCAGACGCGGTCAAAGGCTTTTGCCACGTCCAGCATAAGGAAAGCAGTTGTCTGGGGCTTATGAATAGCTGCGCTTAAAAATTCAACGATTCTGACAAGCTGCATTGTGGTTAAGGGAAAGCAGCCTCTGTAACGGCTTTTTATACCCTCCGGTAGTACCATACGCGAGGAAGCAACGCCATCTATCGGCAATATAGATATGGTTACATAGGTATAATGAAATCGAACAATTGAAGAGATAGGTTTGGAGGCAACTTCCCCTTGATAAGTCTGTCTCCTGCCTGCTGAACAATTATTCACTTATGCATTTTTATAATTTTTTTAGGATTAAAAAATTTTTTGGAATTATATATTTTTTCGTGGATTTTGATACTTGCACTTGCTCTCAGAATTCAAATGATATTGTAGATTAGTTCGCAGCAATAATTAATCATTTATTTGTTTGCAATTAAATTTCATTAACTTTTAATTTTCTTTTTACGAATAGAGAATGTTTGTTAAATATTGTATATATATATATATATATAAGTAGTATCTGGAAGTGCGACACAACCACCAGAGGGCCTCACCGATGCGCCAGCAGCGAGGTGAAATAGGAGTATGACAGAGACTCTTCTGCTATCCCACGCGAAGTGAGATGTTTGTCTGCACGTGAAGGTGTAGAATAAGGAACTGTAGTTTTCCACGCGAAGGTGGTAAATTGGACTGTTTAATACATCAGCAAATGCGAGTAGGCACTAATCGGTTATGTGATAAGACTGGTGAAAGCTATACAGAATCCTCTTTGTATCAAACGGCACTTGTATTTAATCTAATTTGTACCTTTTCTGATTATCTTTATTAAATGTTCTGTGGTGTGGAAAACAAAGTTGGGATTGTTAATTAGCATCTTCAACTCCCCTACTACAGAAAATCTGGGGGCCCTGTCCGGGATATTTGGATACTTCAGAGAAGGTACTGTGAAAAACTTTGCTTTATTTCTTTCTTGAAGATAGGATACTTTGTTTCGATTTTAAAATGAGTTTCCTAAATAATTTAAAGAAAAGTGATTTAATAGTAATTGCGGAACAAATTGGACAGACTGTTCCAGAAAATGCTAAAAAAGCTGACATTAAAAAAATTATTGAAAATTCTGATGTTTTCAAAACGAACGTTGAATTTGTTCGTGGCGTCGTCAAGTCGATCGCAGAGGATCGGACGCCTAAAACAAGTAATGAACACTATCTGTTAGAGATCGAACGTCTTAAATTAGCTCAAATTGAGAAGCAGATTGAATTAGAAAGTTTAAAATCACAATCGTTATCGAGTGATAGAAGAACGCGCAGACTAGTGTTGAAGATATTATTAAAAGCGTCAAAACACTAACTATAGCTGTACCTCAGAAACCGGAAGCTATGCATATGTTTTTTCAGTCACTTGAGAAAGCTTTTACTACTAAAAGTGTACCAGCGGAGTTAAAATCAGAAGTGTTGATTAATATATTAGGTGATAAATGTAATAATGTTCTAACGTATGTTTCTGAACAAGAAATCGCGGATTATGATAAATTAAAAACTCTAATCTTGAAAGAATTTCAGCCGACACCGCGTGAATGTTTGAACAATTTTAAAAATGCGCAGAGACATTCATCTGAATCGCATGTTCAGTTCGCGTCTCGACTCAGTGAAACTTTCAATTATTATTGCAAGTTAAGAGAGGTAGATGACTTTAAGAAATTGTGTGATCTTATTGTATCTGATAAGTTGTATGAAACTCTTGATTCTAAAAAAAAGGAACATATTAGTGTTCGGGAGGGTCAAAGTTGGTACCCACCTAATCAATTGGGAAGAGAATGTGATTTATTTTATTCATCCAGGGGTAAATCTTTAGTTGATACCAGTAACACACGAATCGAAACTCCAGAAAATAAAAAGCTTAATTTTTCCAAAAACAATCTTAGAAAAGCTCAGAGCAATTTCAAGGATTCAGGGAAGTTTGTAAATCAGGGTAGTAGTAAACCAGAACGTATTTGCTATGTTTGTGGGAGTAAAGGGGAATTATTTCATTTTGCTAGAAATTGTCCCAAACGGTTAGGAAAGGAGGAAAGTTTGTCTCCAAAAAAGGTATCTGGGTTAGAGATTGACTCGGATAATGCAGCTAGAAATAAGTTAGAATTTATTGAACTGTTGATTGATGGTAAGAAAGTAAAATGTTTAATAGATTCTCGAAGTGAATTGATAGTTGTAAAGAAATCCCTTTTTCCGAATAAATTATCAAGTGGATGTATAGAACTGAAAAGTTCGTTTGGTCACGTAGTTAAAGCGGAAACGGCTAAGCTTATTTTTTCTTTATGCGAAAGCAAAAAACAAAAAGAGATTGAAGCAGCGATGGTTGATGGATTGATAACAGACTGTATTTTCCCCCCTTCCTGTCTAAAAATGATCTGTTGTGACCAAATGATGAATACGCAATATGAAAACGATTCCGTCTCTTCGGAAAGGAATTTTTTGTCTTTTATTTCTGCAACCATTGAGGCAGACAGCGAAACAGATTTATGGCATATTAAAGATGAAGGATTACGCAATACTGTTTCCACTCTTATTAATGAGTATAAACCGTTAGAAAAGCCGCGCAGTACAGATTTAAAAATGAAAGTAATATTAAAAGATGATATTCCAGTTTCTTAGCGTTCGAGGAGAATCCCTTTTGCTGACCAAAAAAATTGTTGATAATCAAATAGATGAATGGTTAAAGGATGGGATTATAAAGCCGTCGTGTTCAGAATATGCTTCGCCAATTGTTTTGTGTAGAAAAAAATCGGGGAAGACACGGATTTGTGTTGACTTTAGGCAGTTAAATAAAAAAATAGTTAAGGATTCTTTTCCTATGGCACAAGTAGAAGAGGTTTTAGATCGTTTGGGTGAAGCAAAGGTTTTTTCGACATTAGACTTAAAGAATGGTTTTTTCATGTTCCAGTTGAGGAAAACTGCACTAAATATTTGGCATTTATTACTCATTCAGGCTTGTACGAATTTCTAAAAGCACCTTTTGGTTTGTGCACGTCCCCTAGTGTGTTTCAAAGATTTATTTATAATGTGTTTAGAGATTTAATTCGGGATGACACTGTTGTTACTTACATGGACGATTTTATTATTCCAGCACGAAATGAGAAAGAAGGCTTAGAAAAGTTGAAACGTGTTTCAGAAGTAGCCAAAGAATATGGTTTGGAGATTAATTTTAAGAAATGCCAATTTTTGAAAAGAAAAATAGAATTTCTCGGGTATGTTATTGAGGATGGTACAATTCGCCCCTCTACTGAAAAAACCAGGGCTGTTCAAAATTTCCCGGAACCCAAAAACCTTAAGCAGATTCAAAGTTTCTTGGGCCTTACTGGGTATTTTAGGAAATTTATTGCCAATTATTCAAAAATAGCGAAACCATTAAGTGATCTTCTTCGTAACGGAGCAGAATTCAAATTTGGGCCTGAACAAAAAGATGCATTTAATAAATTGAAAGAACTTTTATCCACAAGTCCGGTTCTTCATATTTTTAAACAAGGAGCACCATTAGAATTGCATACAGACGCAAGCAGTCATGGTTTCGGCGCTGTATTGCTACAAAAGTCAGATGATGGACAATTACACCCCATTTACTTCATGAGTAAAAAAACGAGTCTCCAACAAGAGAAGCTATCTAGTTATGAGCTTGAAGTTTTAGCTATAGTAGAAGCTCTAAAGAAATTCAGGAATTACCTTTTAGGATCTAAGGTCAGGATAGTTACGGATTGCGATGCTTTCCAGAAGACTATGTTCAAGAAGGATTTAACTCCTAAAGTGGCGAGATGGGCGTTACTTCTAGAAGAATTTGACTATGAAATTGTTCACAGATCTGGGCAACAAATGAAGCATGTGGATTCCTTAAGTAGAAACGCGGTCATGATGGTTACTTGTTCTCAGGGAGAAATTACAGCCAAAATTGCAGCTGCGCAAAGAAGTGATGAGCGTCTCCAGTTGCTAAAATCCTTAGTCGAGCAAGGACTAAAGAAAGATTTTCTAGTGAAAAATGGAGTATTATACAAGTTTGACAGAGGTCATGAGTTACTTGTGGTACCCGAAGTATTAGAGCTAGAAATCATACGTAGTATCCACAACAAGGGACATTTCGCAGTGTCTAAAACAGAAGATCTGCTAAAAAAACGACTTATATATTCCTAATCTTAGAAAACGAATTGAGCAAGTTATTTCAAATTGTGTAGAATGTATTTTGTGCGACAGAAAACGATGTAAGAGCGAAGGGTTGCTGAATCCCATACCAAAAGATAGTATCCCTTTGAGCACTTTTCATATCGAGTATGACAGAGACTCTTCTGCTATCCCACGCGAAGGTGGTGAGATGTCTGTCTGCACATGAAGGTGTAGAATAAGGAACTGTAGTTTTCCACGCGCGAAGGTGGTAAATTGGACTGTTTAATACATCAGCAAATGCGAGTAGGCACTAATCGGTTATGTGATAAGACTGGTGAAAGCTATACAGAATCCTCTTTGTATCAAACGGCACTTGTATTTAATCTAATTTGTACCTTTTCTGATTATCTTTATTAAATGTTCTGTGGTGTGGAAAACAAAGTTGGGATTGTTAATTAGCATCTTCAACTCCCCTACTATATATATATATATATATATATATATAAGAAATAAATTGAATTTAAATAAATTTAATTTAAATACAAATTTAATTAATTCTTTGTGCCATTGCTGCAAGGAATGAAATTTTAATTTAAACAAATTTAAATTTTAACAAACATGTATATACGTAAAAAAAGCAAATTTAAAATTAAAATAATTAAAAATGTTGCAAACATATAAAAGATTTAATTTTCGAACTAATCTGCAATTATATGTATATGTAAACGTAAAGCATCTAAATTTATTATTAAATTGGAATAAAAGCAAGACAATTTCTCTGTAATATAATAATAGCAGCAATGTATAAGAGGTTTAACACAATATCAAAACAAATCAATTAAAGAAAGAATTCATAGTAGAATAAACTCGAAAAATAAAAATGCGAAATCGAAAATATACAAATAAAAATTAATATCCTTTTACTGAAACTCCAATTCAGAACTAATCAGGAGAAAATAAATTAAAGCTTCATAAAAGTCGATTAATATGTTTCGAAAATATGTTTCTTTCTCCTGGTCCAATTGTAATCAAAAACCATAAAAAGATTTCATCAAATTTTTATTAAAGACTTTATGAAACCAAAAACTCGAATCTAAAATGTACCAGAATTTTCCCTACACATTTTCAAAACACTTGGGAAAATGAATAAAACATAATATTGTGCCAAAATGACAATTAAAATCCATAGAACTTTACATTATGTACACTGCGCAAAATATGCGTGAGTGATTATGGCAGCCTCGAGGGCTATCTGCCTAAGGGAAGGGATGACTTCGTGGAGGACTTTCTACGGAGAAATGGCTCGTATACACATGGGGAAAACCACGAAAACGCCCATGCAGACAGCCCGTTCGCGGGATTCGAACCTCGTACCGAACTACCAGCGTTCAGTGACTTTACCGCTCGGCCGCTGGTGGGCCACTGCGCAAAATAATACTAATAATAATAATAATAAGGGGGGACAGTTCTATATCTACCGTTCTACTGGGCCGATTGACTAAATTCAACTTGCGATTTTCATATCTCGAAACCGCAACTTAGGATATGTATTAAATTTATATATAGCATTGTTCCGATTTTTGTATTTTGACACAAAGTCGGACCTTTTTCTGAAATGACATGCCAATTTTTTTCATTACTTCGATTCTACGAGTCAAATTATGCCAAAACTCCAAAGTTTTATAAAATTCGCATCCTCACTGTTAATTCAATGTGGTATGTATTTATTAATATCTCTTTTTTAATTAAACTTATTTGATTCCTTCCTATACAGTTCGAAATTTAGGTTCATTCCAAATAAAATTCACCCATTTTTTATGATTTATTTTTTAAATTTGTATTTTCAAATATTTTTTATAATTTTTTCAAAAAAAATTTGAATTATAACCTATAAAATTTTTACAATCATCTTAAAGTATATGTATCTTTAAGAATACCCACAAAAAAATTAGGGTTTTTTTATTCACAATTTTCGAAGATATACGTGAATTTATATATTGGCGCGTTTTGAAATTTGGCACTGTGGCTTACGCACTTTGTTAAAATTATTTGAAAGTAAATGATGTGACCTTTTTTCCCTAACATCCACAATGTGAAAAAAATAGGAACGATGTAAGTCTTTTTCCGCTCCTGCTCAATGGAAGAGAAGGGAAAATAGGTTGCTATATACAGGTGTGATCAGCGAATAAGCCCTGATTTCAAAATTAAATATCTCTACAACAAAGATCGATAGAATTATGCGGTAAACTGTACGTTTATTAGCAAAACTGTAAAAATGGTGTACAAAAGTTTAGAAAATTTAGTTACGAAAATCGTTAACAAATGGCACTCTGCGCTGAAAACTCTTTCTCTGAAAGGAGTCTAAAAAAACAATAAAGTGAAGCGGGATTGTTTCGATAGGCAGTGTCTTTCAATACGTCCCACAGAAAGAAGTCACAAGGACTCAGATCGGGAGAATATGGAGGCCAAGCAATCCCTGTGTCAGTAAATTGCGGATAATCTAACGCAATTACTCTATTCTCAAAGTATTCATGAAGAAAGCGAAAAACTTTATCTGTTCGATGTGGTCGAGCTCATCTTGCATAAACCAATCGATACCTGGTCGATCCTCCAACGCTAGTTGAGTGCTGACAAACTGTTCCAAAATCGTAACGTAACGTCCAGGGGTTATCGTTTCTCGTACGAAAAAGGGTCCGATAATGCCTCTGGCCCATACCGCAGTCCATGCAGTAACTTTAGGCGAAATGCCAGTGCTTTCTCTTCACACAAATGAGGATTTTCGGAAACCCAAAATCTCCAGATTTGTTTATTAACAATTCCATTCAAATGAAAATGTGCCTCATCTGTGAAACAGATGCAGCTCACATCAAATCTGTCGTCGATCATCGATAGAATCTGATTCGCAAAGTCAACCCTTTGTTGCACACCTTTCATGATGACTTTTGTATGGAAACATCCGTTAACTTATTAATCCGTAAAAATATTAAAAATCCGTAGGCCTTTTTAATATTTTTTTGCGTCCTTATGTACTTTAAACCTGTCTCTGATGCAATCCGTCGGATGCTTTTCCTAGGATTTTGCTGAACAATTCCAGAAACAGTGAGTGGCTACAGTTTGCCTAGGCCCAACATTTCCCTTTCGATCATCAGCCACGCTGCCAGTCCGTTCGAATTTCGCGAAGAGCATGGAAATGGTTTTCGCATCGCGTCCAACTGGAACATTGAATCGGTTTTGAAAACTGCGACGTGTTGCCGTAGGACTAAGCAAAAAAAAAACACGTTGTTCAATGGAATACATTATTTCACTTTCTACGCTAGCCTCTTTTCACTAGCCAGACTTCGATGCACATTTTAAAGGCTATTAATAGGTCATTGCGATTACAGCGCCCTCTGCTGACGATTTTCGTAACTGAATTTGCTAAACTTTTGTACACCATTTTTACAGTTTTGCTAATAAACGTACAGTTTACCGCATAATTCTATCGATCTTTGTTGTAGAAATAT